GATTGGTACCCAAGAGAGCCTTGGCCACCATCACACCGGGCGAGACGTACATGTTGGCCGTGAGCTTTTTCGAGCGATTATCGTGAAACAAGGCCAGCAAGCTCTCCAGGATCGGTCGCAGGCGTTTGGGGACACTGTAGTCGCAGACAACACGGCCGGCTTTGTCCTGGAGCAGCAGGGCTTCGTTATACACAGCTTCGCGCAACAGATTTCCAGCGCTTCGAGTATTGGCGGCAATGTATTTGACATCTACGATCTTGAGCACGTCAGCGCCTGTACCAACAAGGTGTATGCAAAAAGGCGACAAGACACAGACACAGGATAGGTGAGTATAATGGCTAGCAGGCAACATGGATGTGGGTCAGGCATGATGTAACAAAAAGCAGGCACGGCACCTCGCATGTGTGTGTCAACGTAGTTTTCGTATTCGCGTAAGAAGGCGGCTTGTTCTTCACTCGAGTATCGGCGCTGAAACAGGTCGTGAAAGGTGCCGACCAATATGCACACGCTACTGGGGGTGAGAACATAGAGATCACGAAGCAAGCGAGCGACTTGCTGAAGTTCATTCTGTTTGTGTTCCAATACGGGGAGAACAGGACGAAGTGCGTTAGAGGCGGGCGGGCAGATGATCAGGGAGACTGGCAGAGGATGGCAAAAAAAAAGCGCATAGTGTAGGACGCACCATGCCGGACTCCATGCGCCAGGTGACGATGTAAACGGCCGGCAAAGATGACAGAATGGCTGCTTGCGCCAGTTCAAAGGCGTCGATGGCAGAAAAATCCCAGGTAGGAAAATATAGCTTGCGATTGGAGGGCAGGAAGCCTGGCCGATGACTCCAGAGATAAAAAGGCTCAGTCTGTCAACGCGGCAAGTGGAGTTTCGGTGGGAATGGTCCATGAGTGACAAAAGTTTTGGCTCGAGGCATCAAAATGGAACAAGCCATACTTCAGCAGGCGAAGACCATCGAGACATATGAAGGGCCAGGCTGGTCTTGCCCGACGTAAAGGTGCCGGTGATGACAACGGGGATGAGTTCATTACGCGTGTGGGACACCTATAGATAAAGGTATGAGACACCGCACGCAAGAACACAAAGAGCGAGGGAGAGAGGTGAGTCGAGTTGCAGGGACAGATGAGGGAAGGCCGCGACTGTGTGGGTGGCCCTGATAGATAATGGCGCTGAGAGCGAACCTCGAGGCACTTTTGATAGATGGCGGCTTCTTGAGCTTTGCCGGTCCGATGCATGGCCGTGGGCCAGGGCAATGCAGCTGGTTGTTGATCCTGGACTAAGATGGAGAGGCTCTCAAAATGAGATGACCAGGTGGGAACCAAATTGTCTTGCTGGCAGCCAGTGATATCAAGCTTGCTTAGCACGCTTAGTGTTGGCATGGCATCTGGAAACACGGCAACCCAAAAAAAGTAGGCAGGGCGAGTTGCACAGAGAAAAAGAAAAAGACAGAGAGGAAAAAATAAAAATAGACATGTGAGTTAGCAAGAGATGCAAGACGGCAGGATGCCCGAACAAGGCGAATTGTCATGTGAACAACATGAGGGGGCAACAAACCGGGCAGCAGCATCATGTTGGTGTCGGCGAGGGAAAGGGAGTCGAGTTGAGGCAAGCACTCTTGAAGCAACATGAGGTTCTCGGAAGATGGGATGGGGTTACCACTGATATCAAGTTCGTGCAGATTGCGGCATTGCCACAGTTCGGCCGAGCCCAAGTGAGTGAGCTGATTGCAACGCAGGCGGAGTCGATGCAACTGCGCCAGGCCCACCAGGCCCGGCGGAACCTCGGTGAGGCTGTTATGAGAGACATTGACGTCGACGAGATGTGTCGAGGCCCAAGGCGCAGTGGGCAAGGTCGTTAGGTGATTGTGGCTAACGCTAAAGACCATGAGGTTGGGCAGGCGGGCGATGTAGGCTGGGACCTCTGACAGGTCGTTGCGGTCTAGGCGGAGGACTTCGAGAGAACGCCATTCTTCGGCATTCCACAAGCGATCGCTGGGAAGGGCTCTCAGTTGATTGCGGGAAACATCGAGGACCTTGAGATGGGGCATCTTTTTAAGAATTCCGGTTGAGATGGCTGTAAGCTGATTGCCCGCAATGTTGAGATAAGTGACATAGTCCACGCGGTCAGGGGTCCAGGATGATTGCAGCTCACAGAGGCCTAGGTCCTGCCAGCTTAAGACGCCTCCGCTATGAGTGGAGCCAATCTGTACTTGACGGAGAATGGCTTCGAGAAACTTATGAAACTGGCGGGATTGGGCCTTTTGCACCAGGGCGCGGAGTTCTTGCATGGTGCATAGGATGCGATCGCCGATGGCAATGCGACCGTTGCGGAGCTTGCGCGAGTGCAAAACCTCATGGCCGGCATGGATGTCACGGCTAAACTGGCAAGCAGCAGCAAGGCCGTTGAAGAAGATGAGCTGTTGGAGGGCATGGTGCAGTCGGTCACGGTCGCCGCTGTTACAAGCTTGGAAAGCCGCAGCATAGGCATCCTGGGGGTCAGCAGAAGGGACAGCTCCAACGCGATCATGTGCCATGGCGGCGAGACGTCAAGGAGATGTGCAGAGAATTACGCGAGGGTTCGAGTACGGCTTGCGCGGGGGCGGTCAGCAATGGGCGGGCGAGCGCAACGCGCCAAGACGGCAACGCGCACTCAACCCAACACAAGTGAACCAGCACTCCTTGACATGTCGGTCGTGCCAGGCCGGGCTGGGAAATGGAGGCACACAGTGTGTAACGGGCACGGGTGTGCGTCAATGAGAGGGGTGCGAAAGGATAATGCGGCACGTGTTTCAAGGACAGGGCAGGGAGATGTGGGGGTGGAAAGGGCAGGAGCGAAGGGAGGACAAGCTCGGGTAGGCGACGCTTCGAGCGCACAACCAATTCGGAGAATTTGGTGGGTGGGTTGATGGTTGCAAAAAAAGGAAGACGTCAATCAAGTCGATGCAAAAACGGAGCCAAGCAAAGAACCAGTCAAGGCACGAGTTGTGCAAAAGAACAGCCGTCAAGTGTGTGCCTCTCGAGAGCGAATGACAGCATCGACGTCGAGTCAAAGCAGAGGAGCAGTGGTGGTGGTGGAGGTGGTGCTAGTGGGAAAACTAGGCGGGGGCAAAACGCACCACTTGCTTACGAGAAGCGACTGAGGACGCGGAAGTCCGCAGCCGCGTGCTTTGCTACCGAAAACTCGAGCCACAAAGCCAACTTCTGTAACATCAAGCGCGTGCAAAGGCCAGAAGGGCGTGCCGGAGTCGAGGGGGTACATCAGGGTGAGAGGTTGAACCAATAGTAGTAGGACAGGTGAGGCCAACTGCCCCTTTCACACGGAAAACCCGGGGAGGAGGGGGAAGCAACGACAACGACGACGACGACGACGACGACGACGACAACGACGACGACAACGACGACGACAACGACGACGACGACGACGACGACATCACAAAACCCCTCGCTCTCACAAGAAAAGCGCAAGTGGGGAAGGAGAAAAGGCCAACGGAACCCAGGACAGCGTGGCGTGCTAAACGTGAATAAATGCAACGACCATTGACAGCGTGCTACCAGGAGAAGAAGGAAAACACAGCACCCGCGCCGTGGAAGAGAGAGAGGGAGAGGGAGAGCAGGGCTGGAGGAGTCGAGCGAGCAGGGTGGAGCTGGCTAACCTGACCTGCCGGGTGAGGTGGCCGAATAGATCTCGTGCGTGGATGGATGGATGGCAGTGGGCTTTGCAAAGTGCTCTCTTGTGGAGTGGCACAGGCAGAGAAGATGAAGATGGTCTCTACGGCTGCTGACAACCCCCCGCCCAATTCCAACCCCAAACACAAGGAGAGAAGGAGAAAAAAGGATGAGGGCAGACGGAACTGATGAGAGCAAGTCCGAGCACTAGAGGATGAGCCCAGACAGGTGGCGTCCCGAGCAGAGATGCAGTGGCCAGCCACACACACACACACACACACAAGAGATTCGAGAGATTGTGAAACAAACAGAGGTTGTGAAATAGACAAGTTGAGTGAGAGAGAGAGAGAATGAGTGTGTGTGTCTGAGAGAGAGAGAGAATGAGAGTGTGTGTGTGTCTGAGAGAGAGAGAGAATGAGAGTGTGTGTGTGTCTGAGAGAGAGAGAGAGAGAGACAGAGACAGAGAGAGAGAGACAGAGAGAGAGAAAGAGAGAGCGAGATGGGAGAGAGAGAGAGTTTGCGAGTTTGAGAGAGTTTTTGAGAGAGAGAGAGAGAGAGAAAATCACACTTTTGGTGCTCAAAAAGATTGACAGGTGACCAACCGCAACGAAAAATCGGTTTGTGCTGAAAACACAGAGAGAGAGAGAGAGAGCAGAATGAGCTCTGCGCTGCGCTGTGCCCCACGTTTGCGCTGGCCACACCATTGTCCTTGATTGTTTTGGTAAACTTGATTGACATGATGGGTGGGAAGGAGCGGTTCGCCGTGATTGAGGCTTGAGTCACGCGCAAGACAGAGCGGTGGAGTCCATCACAGGCCACACTGGACGACCAATGGCCATGTCGCTCAGGTCAAACGCGCTGGTAGCAGAATGGAAGAATAACCGCTGTCCTGTTTAGTCAGCTCTTGCGGGCCCCCGCCTACGCTGGGCTCAAAGTCAATGTAGTTCAGAACAGTCTGGCTGCCAGTCTGTTGCCGAATTTGGTTTTGTGGTGGCAGGACGACCGGGTCGCACCCGGGCTTTGCCAACCTCGTGGGCTACCGCGCTACTTCATGCACTGCCTTTTTCTTTTTCTGCCCCTCTACCGCTCCTGGCTTTGATTTTACAGATGACACGCATCATGAGTGTGTGCATGAGTGTGTGCATGTGTGTGTGATAACAAACGAAGAAGACACAAAGGAATGTCAGACGAAACGAATCTGACAACGTAGAAATGTCAGATGATTCATGGCAGCTGTCGCCCTCTCTCTCAAAATTAAATTTTTTTTTTCAGACAGAAAAAAAATAAAGAGCAACTTGAGAGATGGTGGCACGACAAACGAGCGTCATGGCGCGCTGGCGAGGCTGGCTTGCAATGGTCCTGGTCGTCTTGGCGGTGCTATCGGTACTTGGGCGGGCAACGGAGGAAGGAACGGGGCTAGGAAGCTCAGAGCGTCCCAATGTGCTCGTGCTTTTGGTGGATGATCTCGGTGCGCACGCTACGCTGCTGTTGTTTCTGCAGCAAGTTGACCAAGACGAGCGCTGTTGTTGTAGCTCATGGACGGCGCTGAACTGGCACGCAGGGTACGGGGACTTGGCCTGCTTTGGCCGTGAAAATGTCAGCACACCCAATGTCGATAGCCTGGCCCGAGATGGAACCAAGTTTGTGCAATGGATCAGTGCCGCCTCTGTCTGCAGTAAGTCCAGCTCTGGCAGCCTGCCTCGCAACTCTCCTCTTTGCCTTCCGAAACTTCAAGTACATTTGTAGTCTGAAGCACCCCGTTGGCAACGCTTACGACACAAACGTCTGCACATCCTCCCTCCAATCCATCACACCGCCATACCCAGCGCCTTCGCGTGCAGGCTTGCAGACGGGGCGCTTGCCCGTACGCTTCGGCATGACAGCCAATTCGCTCCCTTGGCGCGTTTTGGCCTTGCCCTCTCAACCCACGGGATTTCCAGACGGTGCGTATCAATAACTTGGAACTGGACCAACCGATCGCACCTGGAGCATTCTGCCTCGTGCTTGATTGACTGCGCCTTGGCTCAATGCCGCTGGTGCGACTGGTTGTAGAGGAGCACACCATTGGTGAGATGCTGCGCACCGTCGATTATGCCACCGGCATGTCAGGCAAATGGTAGGCTTTTGTAAACCGCCCGGCCCGTAGATCCCGTAGTGAATGGCCCATGCAACGAATAGCCATTCTTGTTCCCAACGACGCTGTCCCGTGCTCATGCTCTGCCTCGA